TCATGAATTGTGACCATTACTGGTTAAAACTTTAAATCCTAAGTAACAAATTATTTGTATTTAATTTAGGAAATCTGCATGGATGCAGAAAATGCACGGGCAAATGTCATATTATAAGATTTTCTAGAAGCAGTAATCCATCTATCTTTTCATATTCTATATGTGGAAATCAATTAACAGCTAAATCTTCAATAAAGGATCTTGGTATCATTATATCTTCATCATTATCATTCGACGAACATATTCAACACATTTTATCCAAAGCATCCAACTCATTGGGATTTATTTCCAGAAACTGTACTCATTTCAAAAATCCATATACGATACTGTATCTATATTACTCACTCACTCGTCCTATTCTTGAATAAGCATCTGTTATTTGGTCTCCGCATACTTCCAAACAGAAGTGTCAATTTGAAAGAATTCAACATCGTTTACTTAGATTAGTTGCTTATGAAATGGGTCAATCTATGAGCCGAATTGACCACAACTATAGAAGCAAGAAGAGTTACTGCTGACCTTTGCTTTTTGTATAAAATTGTGTATGGTCATACTAATAATTCTTGCATCACTTCACTGATACACTTCAACGCACCCACTCGTCACACCAGAACGCCAATGCTTTTCAGACCATCTTCACCTTTTTCTCGCTTTAATAACACAGACCCTATTAATAGAATTTGCACTTTGGCAAATAATTGGAACGACAAAATTGACATTTTTGCGCCTAACATAAATAAATTTAGGTCTGAATTGCAGTGTTCTCTACGATAGGGTAACATAATTATTATCATTATTAGGTTAAGTATAATCGTATTTTTTATATCTGTCTGAATCCTATTCTTACAATTATTATATCTTACTATACCTCATTGTTACACCATTGTATTTGTGTGCCGTAACGTTTTGAACCAAATATTGTAAAAATGGGTCCTCACCCATACGAATTAAATTAAATTAAATAATGAAAATGAAATAGTATTCTATTTAGAAGAAACTACACAACAGAATTTAAAATTATAAGAGCATATTGCCTTTCTAGACACGTGCCGCAATGGTTCTTCGAACCGCGCGCCTCGTACTCCTTGGGCCTGTGGCACTGTCTTTGGCGGTGTCGTCGAGGTAACTTGGAATTAGGTTTTAATACGTTTTTATTTAACTATGATTTACAAGTATGAATACAATTGGACAAAATGGCGTTGTGATGTTGCTGACGTTCAGAAATAGACTGTTTTATCCCCTGCTTGGGACCGGTATTTAAAGGGGTTTCGGTTTGGAGAGGGTGGGCGCCAAGTTTAAGGAATTTAAAAAAGGATGACCTAGGAAATAGGGATATCATGGGAAGACATCTTGGCGACATTAGAAATTTGGAAAAAGGCTGTGTGGGAAATCGGGATATCGCGAAAACACATCATGGCGTCATTCGGAATCCGGGTGAAAGCTTTTGAACGGTCGGGTTTTTGAGGAGATCTGTATCGTTAGGTCGGTACATGGAAAAACCATCGGGGTAATGAAGGATTTGTTGGCGCCTACCGCGAGAGCGGGGACTCCGTGCAGCTCTGGTGCTGTCCTGGAACGGTGCTGGTGCAGCATTTTGTCTGGGTAGCACGGATAACATGCGAGCTATCTCAGTGCAGCACTGAAATGAGGCAGCACTGGGACGAAACAGGGGTCAAACCGCACTGAAATCGTGCAATTGTTTTGAATCACACAACTTGTGAGTTAATACTCAAACCAACGAGGTTAAAATACACAGGTACACTCACGAGCAAACTCGGCTTCCATTAGGGGAAAAAATAACGTAGGGGAAGGGTCTCTTACCACTTGGTATTGGAAATTATTGAAATGTATGCTAAATTAACATTCGATTTAACATTTATTTCACTACCTAGAATAAATTTACCAAGTGATAGAAGACTTTTCTTCTACGTTGATTTTTCCCCTAGCGGAAGCCGAGTTTGCACGCGAGGGTACGTAAATAGTATACAAGAATAGAGAAAAAAGTATCAAAGTTAATGTAGGTAACGTAGAAAAAGAAAGTTTATACATATTATATATATTTTATTTTTAGATTTGTAGTTTATAGACAACAAAATGGAAGAGCATGTAATTATTAGAAGATTTAACTAAAATTAATATTAAATTATTTATTGTTAAAGATTTTCTAATTAATTATTAATTTTTATTCTCTCCTTTTCGTGGTGTAGTAAAATATTTTCTATTTCGTCAGCACTACTACTGCGGCTTAATAATTTCATGAACACTAATTCCCGGCCTATTGCGTTTTCTATTGCGGTTATGTTCGATAGGTATATGTAATTACAGTACTTATACACCACACGACTTCGCGCCAAATCTCCTGTCACCAGTGTCACCGAGCCGCACTGCCGTAAATATCAGTGCAATAAAACTCGCCCTCGTTCAGTTCATTTTTTTAATTCCGAATACGATTATTGCACTGCACTGGGGCAGGGAGTATCATCCGAATGTGTGGCATCGAAAAAGTTGGCACTCAGTGCGCACCAGTGCGGGTTCCCGAATTCGCTATGAGGTAAGCGCGCTTTGACTTTAGGACGGCGGCCGCGAGGATTCTCGAAAAGCGATCTTTGTGCACGTGGTGTCGATTTTGATGGTCACGTGACATTTTCGATTGTAAGATTCCACCTTAGGGCGACTCGCATTGGGCCATACGCCCCTGCCGTCGCTACAGCGGGACCATTGTTTTGCGAATTTTTCAAATTCGACGAATTTCGCACTGCACCAGGGCAGTTTTTGTTCGTCGAATACGATGCAGAAGTTGCATGCTAATCGTGCAACACAACCGAATACGATTATTGCACTGCACTGGGGCAGAGAGTATCATCCGAATGTGCGGCATCGAAAAAGTTGGCACTCAGTGCGCACCAGTGCGGGTTCCCGAATTCGCTATGAGATAAGCGCGCTTTGACTTTAGGACGGCGGCCGCGAGGATTGTGACGTTTTCGATGTATGCATATAAGGAGGTAGGAGAATCAGTTATTAAATATTCAATCTTAAATATTACCACGCCGTGATTTCATTATTAAGCCCATCCTCAAGATGCCAACAGAGACGCAATAAAGTAAAAATTTTGTAATTCGAGGAATATGCCTACGTTGTATATCTAATAAATATTCTTTATTAATTAACTTCGTTTGTCTCTCCGAATCTTCCAATAGGAGTTGCCCCTCCAAACATCGATGTATGCATATAAGGAGATAGAAGAATCACCTATTAAATATTCAATCTTAAATATTACCACGCCGTGATTTCATTTTTAAGCCCATCCTCAAGATGCCAACAGAGACGCAATAAAGTAAAAATTTTGTAATTCGAGGAATAGAAAGCTATTCATAAAAGAATTGAGTACAATAACAATAATAATCAAAATAAATAAAATTCAAATAATAAAAAATAAAGGATCGATAACTGTAAGAAAAATAATGAAAAATACTGAAGACTGTCAAGTGTACAAAAATTAAATGATCTTGAAGACTTTCAAATATGAAAGTTCCAAATCAATATTTTTTTGAAAGCACACAAATTATATAGTTACATATGGAAAGAACCGCCGAACATGAAAAACGCAGAATGGATTAAAAAAAGACGCCAACGCACAAAAAAACATACTGACCACGATCGGAAAAAAGCCTCTCATGCACATTTTAAATTGTGAATTTTAAATTGTGTCACAATTTATGAAAGAGATAGTAATCAACAGAAATGTGCTTTAATACAAGAGTTTTTCAGTTTTACATTCAACAAAAAAATAGATATAGCTACAAATATTAGCAAACTACAGAATATAGTCCATAAATTAAAGACTATAAACGAAAAAATAAATAATAGTATGTTCATATAAAAAAATAATGTCCATTCTTCCTGATGAACATAGATATTTTATTAGTGCACGGGAGTCTACATTAGAAGAAAATAAGACTGTAGAAAACCTAATAGCTAGCAGACTGCCAATAGCTGGTCGACCGATGCAGCTTCCGTATGAGAAAATACGAACGCGTCTCTACGAATGATGATTTGCGAATGTATGTATCTGTACGAGCATTGGACTGTGAAGGCCTTTTCCAAAAACTCTTCGAGAGTTTCGCTTCTCGGATATTCTCAAAGCTTCGCGTTCGTCGCGCTTCTTCGAGTTTTGCCGAAGGCGTTAACTATATTTCGCTTCCTAATTGGCTGTGCCCTGAAGGGGGAGGCATACTGTTGGGTTTTCCTGAGTGACATGGGGTGGAAAACCTCTCCTTCAGTGCGCAACGGAGGCCAGAAAAATATCCCATACATGGTCACGATGTGACTTATTGCGACGAATTTTCGGACGTCTTCCAGCAGTAAGGTTTATAACCAAAAGTATTGTAGGAGTCAGCGCGCAACGGTATGGCCCGGCGCGGATAGGTCCCAGGTTTACCGTACGCACGTGGCGGATTGCAGACTAAATGTTCGGGATCATTTATCTGTTGTTCCTTTATGTCAATTAGAATCTAAATAGAAAGTTGGCCGATGTCAAAAATGTCGTAATTGTACGTGCTACGCTACAAAGGAAGTAAAGTAATAAAGGCTAACGGAACCGTCGAACTCTGTAGACGTCGTTCCTGCTTTACGACAAAACATAATGTATTAATGGCAACGGTATTAAGCAATACATTTTGTCCCTGAAAAGAATTCTTAGCACACTGCTGTACAAGAATAACATTATTCTTTATTTCAGCGTGCACGGTAGAAATGCACAAGAGAAAAGTTTTATTAAAAACCACCTTTTTAAGACCATTGTGTCTACGAAGGCGTCAGAAAATTTCGCGATATAAACTTTTCTTTCAGCACGAACATGCAATCAAATCGGAAGCATTGAATCACCTTTGAGGGAAAACAATCAGAGCTAAAACTGTTGGAGTCGTAAAGTTGCGATCAGTTTCCCGCTCACCGAAGAGAATTAGGTGCATAAGAAATAATTGAATTCGGTTTTCACTTACCCTGAAACTCTTTCCTGGCCGCGCTGACGGAAGTAACAATGTTGGCCACGTGTCCGAGCACGGTGGCAAACAGCAGCAGACCAAACAGCAGTTGAACTATTACGAACAAATACTCGCCTTTGCTTCTCGGTCTGAAAATAAAGCAGATATTGGAGTGGTGAGTATATTTAATGTAACAAACAAAAATTGTGCAACTTTCTCGAATTTGGCGTACGCTCTTTATTAAATTAATTAATATCAAATAGATTGATAGTAAGTGGCCGTTCGAGTAAGGTATGATTTTTCTTGCCATAAATGGATTATATACACAGTAAAGCAGACCGGGTGGTACAATCGGACAAAAAGTCATTCTACATTAAAAAATCAAGTCTAAAATATTGAATTAAATTTTTAAGTACGATACTTCGTTTTCATAATAATCGTATTAGAATTTCGATACGATTATTATGAACGTATTCAACGGATACGTTAGGCAAGACCTATTCAATCGCACGGGTATTCAACAAACTTTGGAATGCGACAACCTGGAAACCGGAAACATTACACGAAAAAATTGTATTCTACATTTTCAACGTATTTTTGCATGTAAAATGACCTCCTGTCCGCTTGTACCATCCGTCCAGCCCCAGCCTGTATAGAATTTCTTCAACAATTTTTATAGCCCAATAAAGACTAGACTTTTTGGAACTAACATAAATTATTTCAATAGATAGCATCTTCATCCATATCGGTACATAAAATACACAAGAATTAAAAACTACATCTGTGGATGGTGATCGGTTTTCTGTTCCCCGCAAACAAAATAATAATAACTGGATGTAATTATCGCATTTGGAAAATATTTTTTTTAAGTAAACAATTGTTTACAGAATTATATATGTAGAATTGTATCTGAAAAGTGTACACACACAGCATTTACAATAAGAATTCTAAACAAAATATAACAAATATTATAACTTTGTAGTTCTTACTTTGAATGTAATTAAAATGAAATAACTGTATGTTATGTAAAGATCAACCAAACCATTTAGAAATAATTTTTCACTGTAGGTTTCAAATAAACCAACAAATATTTTTGAATATCGTACTCCGTCCTTTAGATTAGTCTCATTTACAAAACAAATAAATGACGAACGGACGATCGAATTGAAAAAACGATCATACTAAGGTTTGCAAATAGGAAAAAAATTATTATTATTACTAATTTTAAATTAATACATCATTTTAAATAAAATGTTTTATTATACTTTTATGTTATTTATTTACTGTTATTGCATTTTTAATATACTGTTCATAGGAATATGAAAATTACAAAAAATTGTCTAAATATGTAGTATCACAGCGTACTACATTTTAAAATTGTGATTAAAGACATGACAATAAAAGTGGTTGAGAGAATTCTTTGTCGGTTGAAGGTAATATAATTGACTAATATATTGACGGGTATATATTGACAAGTAAATTTGTAATAAAATATAAAGTAAAACAAATTTGTTTCAGGTATTGGGTCAATACAAAAGTGTTGATGGATTTTCTTTAGATGGTGCGATCGCCATGGTTTTGTAAAAACAATAAATAATTATGTTAATTTAATATTATGCGTTGATGTCAATGTAACACAGCGTATTGTTGTTTAAAATGAAATTGAAGTTGTGCATCTGAAATGAAATTAAAAACGAAAGAAACAAACGTCACAAACACCAGAAACATTTGTGATGTGTTTGGAGAAACTGTTATGTCAATCCCACAATGTGGAAAACAGTGAATTTATTTATAAAAGTTCATTGAATAATAATATTCAAAAGATTTGTTTATTTGAATAAACGTTTTTATTAAAAATACATATGTTGTAAAAGAATCATTATGTATATCATTAAATTATTAGTACATTATAATTTAATTGACTATTAGTTTACATTTTTAGAGTAAAACCCACAAAACCTTTTGCTCGGTCCCGATACATAGTTTCAGCAAGGTTAAAAAACATCAGGACAATGATAAATTTTATCTTATACAGTTTTTATTATAGAAACCGTTCTAACCTTATTTAAATTTCATTGGAATTAGTCTGATAATCAAAATATTAAGAAACAATTTAATAGACCAAAAGTAAGGGCACACTTACCGGGGTAAATCGCCGATGGTTGTGAGAGCCAATGTGCACCAATAGTAACTTTGTAAATATTGTTTCACGACATCCGCCGTTTCGGAGTCACTGAACACCCAGTTTTTACTGCCGAAGCCGTTGTTCTTATAAATAATGTGATAGAGGCACCCGTTCCAGTGAAAGATCACCAGTAAATAATGTATCAAGGAGGTGGAGCGGAATAAATTCGGATAGTTCGTGTGTCGCTCAGTTCTATCCATGAACGCCCAGAACCTGCATGACAATGGACAAAAAAGATTGGATGAAATTCCAGCGCAATCGTCATAACGTGTCGATCCTTATTTTTTACGTAGAATACGCACCTTTAGGAAGAAAACAAGCCTAACCTGAGCAAAATACATGGACAAATAAGGAAGGTATGGGCAATACAGTGCGGGTGCCTATTCTCAACTTTTTCCTTATTTCTTCCTGTTTCTTGGCGAAATACGTATTTGTCTTCAATGAAAAAAAAATTTTAATGTATTTTTTCTGCGTATTTATTTATTTAAGAAGAAAACAAATTGAAATGTATTTTACTTTATTTTATTTTTGAAAACAATTTAAGCCATTTCTGTGTCTTTTGCCCGCATTCGTATCTGTTTCTCTTACAATGAACCAATTGTAGTCACCCATCATTGACTCATCCCAGAATTCTTGGTAGCGTCTCTCGATACCTTTCATCTGCCGATGAAATCTCTCGTCATGTTCATCGCTTACAACAGCAAGATTTGGTGGGAAGAAATCCAATGCGAGTGGAGGAAATAGATCTTCAAAAACATGTCAACGTCTATATTGAGAGAATAAATAAATACGCGGAAAAAATACACTTAAATTTGTTTTCATTGAAGACAAATACGTAATCCGCCAAGAAACATGAAGAAATAAGGAAAAAGTTGAGAATAGGCACCCCCACTCTATTGCCCATAACTTCCTTATTTGACCATGTATTTTGCTCAGGTTAGGCTTGTTTTCTTCTTAAAGGTGCGTACTTTACGTAAAAAGTAAGGACCTGGACGTCACATAATAATTTCTATGTTTTCCAGGCGATGTAGTGAATTTTCGATTTCAATTTCACCTGTAAAAAATGAAATATTTCTTTTCTTAAGTTTCGTTCGATTCCGCCTAAACTATTGATCTGATTTGAAAACAATGTAGAAAATAATTGTATGTAATTTAATTACCTTTCATTTAAGAGTCATCGCGATCAAATAAGTCAACTATAACGCGAGATATGGCCAAAAACATCGGGTCGTCTTTTTAAAAAATTACCAAAATATTCATCGGGCGATATTTCAAAGACGTATCCGTAGAATTACGTCTCGTGTCGATTTTTGAGTTTAGGGGACCACCTTCCATAAGAATTTCATAGTGGAGTTTGTATCACATAGAATTTATTGGATTTTGTAAACTAGTGTAATGTATTGATAATTCCAATATGAAATTTAAAACTGAAATACAAACGAATTTTAATATGAAATTTTCGGAAAACACATAGCTTTCTGGTTTTATTTCTCTGAATATATTACATGAATATATGTATATCATTTCTCTGTAACGATACCTAGATAACACCGTGCATCCAAAGGACGTCCGTTTTATGTCCAGTTTATATCCATATGTTCTACGTCCATTTTGAACACCTTCAGGATGTTCGTAAGACTTAAATTTCGGATGTTCTAAAAACTTCCGTGCAGAAAGTCCTACAGATCTTCTCAAGATTTAAATTTTCCGTATTCTAGGAATTTCTTTTTCTTAAGTCTTACGAATGTTTGTAGCATTTAAAAATACGGATAGTTTCGTTTAGTAAGTTTGACTCATTTTCATTCCGCGCAAGGTGATGAATCCCCATGACCAAGGTGTCATTCTTTAGAGCAGGCCTGGTCAAACATACGCCCGTGGAGCCACATATACAGTAACACCAGCCCACCACTCGCTTCTGTTGTTTTGTCATCATAGACACATATAAAGGACTGCGCTGCCTTATCGTAGGGATAAAGCGAGACCGAAGGACAGAAGTAGCGCTGGAGTAACTCCGCTCTTGTCCGCACATCGCAGAGGGAGAGATGAAAGCGACTGCAGGGCAATGAGAAGAAGGAATGCTGCACGCAAGTAATGTCTCCACTACAGCCGTAGAAGAATCCCCCACCCACAGCCCCATTGGAAATATAGGAAAATTACTCCAGTTACTCTCTTCTAATGCCGAATTCATCCCTACCATAAGATCGCGCAGTCTATTATATACAGGGTGTAATAAAAATGTTGGAGGACCCGGAAATGGAAGACTCGTTAGGTGATTTGAAAGAAGTTTTTCCTTTGCAAAAATGTTATTTGAGGCTTTGTTAACGAGATATAAACGAAAAACCCCGACCAATCCTAGTGCGAGTCTGCCGGCCGAGTTACCAAGGTAACGTTGGCTACCAATCGCAGCGGGCAGACTCGCACTCGGATTGGTCGGAGTTTTTCGTTTATATCTCGTTAACAAAGCCTCCGATAACATTTTTGCAAAGGAAAAACTTCTTTCAAATCACCTAATGAGTCTCCTATGTCCGAGTCCTTCAAGACTTTTGTTACACCCTGTATGTCTATAAGTTATCACCCTTGGCAGGAGGTGCGCGCGCATGCTGACTGTCCTCACTATCCGCACTCCCGTAGTCCCTGCTCATCGGATCTTAGCGATACACGTTGACATAGTGACTATGTGTTGGAAGTGGGACACACACAGCATGCGCACGCACCTCCTGCCCGAGGATGACAGCACAACAGAAACGAGTGGTGGGGGCTGGTGTTATTGTTTTTGTGGCTACACGGGCATATGTTTGGCCAGGCCCGCTTTAGAGGGTCAATAGAGAAGTGTAACGACACTAGTGGTTTTATGCGGAAACCACAGGAAATTTGGAAACACATTTTTTTTCTTAAACTGTCTCTAACCAACACAGAATCAATAGTTTGCTTTGCATAAGGGTTTTGTTTCCTAACCCTTTCGGTACAAGCGCTCTGTTCGCCGTGACACTCCCGATGTACGAGGCGCTGCTCCGAAAATGCACACGGCGCTCGTACACACAGGTCATCAGATGGATGCCGGATATATCCGGCGCTCGTACCGAAAGGGTTAAACTCTGTCTCACCAACATAGAATCAATGCTTTGCTTTGAGTAAGTGGTTTTTTTAAAACTGTCTTTAACCAACATACAATGAGTATTTTCCTTAGAGAATAAAAATAAATACAATGTGCAGACATATCATAGCCCCCAAAACAATATTTCATTACAATTCCTTAGAGAAAATTTAACATTTTATTTATTAACGGGCACTAACTTGATCTAACTTCTACTAAGTACGGAAATCGCTGGAAAGTTAATGTTTTGTTTGTTAAACACAAATCAACCTAACCTAACTTCTATCACCTTACGCCTTACACAGAATGAAATCTAACCATAATTTGAAACATTTAGGAAACATTTTTTATACGCCTTTAGGAAATTAGCATACTGTTTTTAAAAACTCTTTAAATGTTCCAAAAAAGTACAGAGAACGTTACTTTTACACATTCGGAAAACATTTTGAGATTATTGACACAGGACGTCCTCAGCACATTCCACTTCATAAATAGGACCTTCCGAGGACATTTAAAGATCTCAACGAGGACGTAAGGGGGACATGTGGACCTTCTCGGGATATCCTTCGGATGTACCGAACGTCTGGAACATACGTTCTCCGGACGTTCATATGACGTTTTTGTGCTATTTTGTTAGTAGCTGGAATATTTTTGTAAAAATATAGTATTAAAAATTTAATTTCCTGTATTGATTAACTTAAACGACAGGAACACTTTCAGCTCTATTATTTGTCTTGAGGTTTCGAAGATTGTTCATGACTTCTTACTTTTTTTTGACTTCTTGTCTTTGTTTAAATATGTGAGATTTTTCAATTTTCTTTCTAAAGGGTGATGAGATTAGAATTAATAGAATTAACGTGAAATGTAGTAAGCAATTTTTAAATCCATTTGTACAAAGTATGCAGAATTACGGCACTATAAACATCAATGGTGATCGGTCATTAATTTTCCAACAACCTAATAGCTTTTTTTAATATTGTTCATACCTCAATGTTTTGTTTTCACCTGTTCTTCTCCGCAACAATACTGCGAGTAACATTACCGTGTTAATGTGTTGCGTACTGCCCACAAAATATCTCACTAGAAACTGTAAACAATTGTGCCAACGGAATGACATACGCAATAACTCACAAAAAGAATATTGGAGAAAATACGTGTCAAAATATAGAAGAAAATAGTAATAATATGTTTATTTCTTAAGACGGAATTCCACTGAGCCATCCACAAAGCAACATGTATTGTGTGACCGACAAGAATTTCAACACGAACGTTAAATAATACTTTCAGCGAGGATTTTCATATTCATTAACCAAACGCGTGATGTTTACGTGCTTTTAAAATCAAATTTCCTAAAAAGGGAGCTGTTTGCAGAAAACTGTATAGTATGATATATATTTCAGTGTATATATTCCCCGATTGTAAAGTACTAATCATAATGGAAAACTTTTTGTTTGTAATATAAACAAAACAGTACAATGAAAGATAATGAATTTGATATAAGTTTAGCATAGTGGAAATAACAGACTTTATTAATGACAATTAGAGAACGTAGCGTGGAAATTAGTGACATTTCATTCGTCTTCCATGGCTAATTAGTTAATACATTAACCGTCAATTTTATGCATTTGTAGCATATGTGAGTGTGAAAAGCAGAATAGAAGAAGACCCTAATTAACATGAAATAAACTTTTTAGTTTAATTCTAATTTCTCGGGTAGTTTCGTAGAAGAAATACATTTTGGTTCCAGATTCGTTTCAATTAAACGATTAAATAAAAATCTGAGTTTGCCTGTATAGTCACAGTTTTATCACAAAATACTATATGAAATATGAAATTCACTCACCGATATATTTTTACAAGTCTAAAACTTCGCAGTATACTGTTGAATCCTATAGATAAGTATAAAAAGTCGAGGGGTAACAGGCACAGGATGTCCATGTAAAATGTGGTGCTGTTTGTATAATGGTTCCGCAGCTTTGTCGCATCGGTTTGCAGAACACCGTCTTCCAAATATCCCGTTCGAATGTGAAATACTATGTCCAACACGTATAAAAAATCGGAGAAGTAATCCAGGCAGAACCACACCCACCGCGTTTCGCCTATACAACACAGAAATATTTTCGTTTTGAATAGAAAAGCATTTTCAGATATTCTGTTTATTTCCCAGATGTGTCATTGAACGCAACACAAAATATTATTTATATATTAAGATTAAATTGATAAAATCTAGTATCTATATCTGTTTATGTTGCGAGTTTATCGCAGGCCGCGTCGATCATTGGATTGAAACGACCGCCCTAGGATAGCTATGGTCTGTTTTTCGAAAGATGATGCCTGGGAGGTAGGCCCGAGTTTTCGCGGTGTTGCCGCGATCGCGAGACACCTACGGCACTTGTGTCTCTCTCACTCTTCGCGTCGTGCCAATGACGTCCGACCGTTGACGTGAGTCCTCGCCTACGGTCGTCTGTCTCCATCACACGTATTACAAACCTCTCGAGAACGACCTACCTACAATCTCAAGGAGTGGGGACTGCGTTCGGTACGTGGCCGTTAATAATCCATTGTCTGGAAATGGCGGAGAATGTTGACGAGACGCAGAACGTTTTCACAGGTCAAAAGTTAAAATACATGAATAAGAAAAAGTTTATTTCTATTGAAAGAATGTATTGTACCCAAATATTGAACAACATATTAAAAGGGGATTAAATTAATACGCAGGTTATTAAACGCTACACGTGGAAATCCCAGGGTAAAGAAGGAAGATGGTTTACCGAGCGTCTGAGAGAGAGGCTCTCGTGCCGAAGTGCTGGAGGTTGGAAAGAGACACACAGGGTCAATGAGACCGTCACAACGTCGCACGAAATACGTAGCTCACGTTGGATCCCCGCCAGGCCACGCGCCGAGGCAGGCCAACCTCCCAGGCATCAGCTTTCGAAAAACAGACGATAGTTCTATCCTGAAAAGGATACGGATTGAAGGTGGTGTTGTAGCGAAAAAACACACCGGAGTTTGGCCGGAACAGTTTATTGTTGAGAGTCTTAACAATGTCTCACAAAAACACGATTACACTCGGTGGGCACTGGAGAGCCGCGAAGTGCTGATCAAGAGTGCCGTATACGAAAAATCTAGGCGATCACGAAACTCGTTTACACCAATCGCCGATTTTCGCCACAATTGTACTCGAGCGCCGAGAGCGATAAATCTAACACTTGCAGTGTTGCGATAATTAACGCACGAGTTGAAAAATGAGAAGTTTGTTAAGATCTGCGATTACTACAACGGTTCACGACAGAATGCTCGGCGAGAAGCGAAGTTTCTACTGGTTTTAGTTCAAAATTCGTTAGGATTTTTCAGAGAAGCGTCGGAATGGTTCCACGAATATCGATCACCGCAAAACTATCGATAGATGATCGATATTTCGAACAGCGTTGCGCAGATTCCGTAAATACGCTAACGCACGCGCTCGAACGTATCACGGTCGCGAAATTCAGGGACGAAATTAGCAAATCGGCGTTGGGCGCACGCTTTCGTTGACAGGCTCGCAGTATGGTGCGAGAGCGTCCTGTCCTATTTACTTTTGACGAGCGCGTCTCTTAGATTTTCATTCTGAAACAATATCACTATATATACTATTATAATTTATACGATTTAAGAATCTATGAAATTATGTCAGGGAAGTAGTTGTAAGGGACACTTTCCGTGGTCCCTGTATGTATTGTAACCGTTCCGATTACATAATTAAATATTGTTGAGACATGTATATATGACGGGCGAGCATCGGCGATCCCCACCACCGCGAGGATCCAGGGTGCTTTTTATTTTTGGTTCTTTGTTAATGAAACGTTTATTAAAAAAACGATACCAAACACGGTATAATTTATAACATATTTACTTATGTAGAAGGGGTTAAAAATTCAGAGGCCACAAAAGCGGACGCCATTCTCGCGGCGCTCACTTAAGCACAGTAAAGGATATTTTACTGTTAAACCCGCCGTCCGCCAACATTTATCGTCGCGTTGAATCGCGAATAATCACGACGTTTGCGGTATTCCCAGAAGCAAAGTTGCGTAACCTGCTGAAGGGGCAGGTGTTTACCGATGGTAAGCCCTCTTTAATTCTCAGCCGTCTGAGAAATTTAAATGACGGAGCTTGTGATCACGCGGTAATTCGGTCCGTATTTTCCGACAGCTACCCTCAACCCACTGCGCAATTTTGGTAGCAACTGGTGGAGATAATTTAGACAGGCTGGAGAAAGCGGCCGATAAATTGGTCGCCTGCGCGGGCGCATCCGACACCCTCTCCGTCGTCTATGGAGAGCGACCTAAAGAGGGTTTTGGCCAGCGTGGTATCACTATCCGAAAAGCTGGCGCGTTTAGAGGCGCGAAATAAACCGCGTCCTCGATCGGCGAGGCGCTCGGTTCCCAACCGGAACCGCGGTCGTTCCGCGGAGCGCACGACACCCCGTTTGTGTGTCGCGCATAGCAAGTACCCTGAGAACCCAACTTCCTGAAAAAGTTGGTGTGCTAAGTTTACCTCATGGCAAACAAAAAACTAGTTCCACCTTCCTGTGCGGAGGCCATCGTGGACGGTGCTTGGGCATCAAATCGTCTCCACATTCCGGACCGCAGAAGCGGTCAATGTTTCTTGATCGACACAGGGACCGATATTAAGTGGAATTTCTGTATCGCTGCAGTTCCGTGCGCAATTATTGGCGCCGATCTCTTGCGTCACGACGGATTGGTAGTCAACCTTCGAAGGCGTCGCCTCACCGATTCCTTGACGTAAATCTATTCCCTGACGGTTGTCAGACCGGCACTGGTTCATTCAGTGCATACGGTCAATCCTGGTTCCAAGTGCGCGGAAATCCTAGTCGATTTCCCTGAGATCACGGGTTCTTCATCTTTAACTCCCCCGGAGGGTCATGATGTATTACATCACATCTTCACCTCTGGTCCTCTAGTTGCGGAGCGCGCTAGGCGTCTTTCCCCGGAGAAACACTGTGCAGCTAAAGCCGAATTCCAAGCTTTAGTTGAGGCTAGCATCTGTCGTCTGTCTCGCAGCCCTTGGGCGAGCCCGATCCATCTTGTTGCTAAGAAGAACGGTTCCTGGCAAGTTTGTGGCGATTACCGCCACCTGAATGCGTTAACTACGCCGGATAAATATCCAACTCCTCATCTCCATGATTGTTCTGTCAATGTCCATGGAAGGAAGGTCTTCTCATCTCTTGATTTGCATAAGGTCTATAATCACATTCCTATGGCTCCGGAGGACGTCGAAAAGACGGCGGTGATCACGCCGTTCGGCCTTTTCGAATACATGTTCATAACATTTGGGTTTAGGAACGCCAGCCAGTCACTTCAGCGTTGCATGCGCTGTGTGACTTAGATTTCGTCTTTGTCTATATAGACGACATTCTTGTTGCTTCCGAATCTTTAGAGGATCATGGAAAGCACTTACGCACTGTGCTTCAGACGCTCAAGGAGTTTCATCTCCGTTTAAATGCCGACAAGTGTGTTTTCGGCGCCTCCGAATTCGAATTCCTCGGATATTCGATCAACAGTGCGGGCATTCGGCCCACGACTGAAAAAGGTTGATGCAATCACCAACTTTCCCCAGCCAAGAACCATCGTTCAGCTTCGACGTTTTCTGGGGATGGCGAATTTTTATCGCCGAAATCTTCTCAACGCGGCACAATCGCAGGCACCGTTGAACGCGTTTCTCACCGATTCTCGGAAGAATGACAAACGCGAAATTGTTTGATCCTCGGACGCTGTACATGCGTTTGAAAAGGTCAAATCATACTTTGCCAACGCAGCGTTACTGGTGCATCCACATGTAGGTGCAGATTTGCGGGTCGTTACAAACGCTTCAGATTTCGCTGTGGGAGCGGCTCTCGAACAGCGTTCTTCAGGTTTGTGGGAACCCCTCGCATTCTTCTCGCGGAAATTCTCTTCAGCGCAAAAGAAATATAGCGCCTACGACTGTGAACTGATCTGAATATACGAGGCCATCAACTAGTTCCTTCATTTCCTCGAAGGTCGCGACTTTAGGGTGGCCACTGACCACAAACCCTTGGTGTATGCCTTTATGCAGCGGTCCGATAGGGCTTCCCCTCGGCAGCTGCGCCAGCTTTCGTTGATCGCGCAATTTACTACGCGTGTTGAATATGTGGCAGGCTTGGAAAACACCTTCGCTGATTCCCTCTCAAGAATTGACGCAGTTCGTCTTCCTCCAGAATTCGACCTTGACGAGCTTGCAAAATTGCAAAGCTCTGACACTCAGCTCCAGCTGATTCGCAGTGCTTCGGACCATTCTTTGAAATTGAAGAGCATCCTGTGGGGACCAGAACAAGCTCTAGTTTTTTGTGAGATTTCTGGCGAGGCAATTCGTCCGTATATTCCGACGAGCCTTCGCGGAAGGGTTTTCCACACTTTCCATGATCCTTCACACCCTAGTGGCAAAATCAGCGACCGCATAATTCGTTAGAGATGTCTCGCCGGATATGCATCGAGATATTGTATCTTGGTGCAAGAACTGTGCTGCGTGCCAGCAATTCAAGGTCTCGCGTGATGTGCGTCAAACACAGGATCATTTCGTCGCCCCTGATGGACGTTTCGATCAGGTTCATATCGATATTGTAGGGCCCTTGCCCTCGTCACAGGGATGTACGTACTGTCTCACAATGATCGACAGATTCTCTCGTTGGGTAGAGGCTGTTCCTCTGTCGGATATTACGGTACAGACGGTAGCCAGGGCATTCTATGACACTTGGATTTCTCATCATGGTGCACCCAAGGTCATAACTACCGACCCAGGTGCTCAGTTTGAATCCCGTCTGTTTTCGGCCTTCCTGTCGTTAATAGATTGTGCCGTACTCGAAGAACGGCAAATCACACCGCGTCAAACGGCATGATTGAAAGATGGCATCGCGCCTTTAAAGCCGCGATTATGTGCCATGCAAATGCAAACTGGTCGCGAGTTCTCTCCACAGCTTTGCTGGGTCTCAAATCCCATGTGCGGCTGGACACTGATGCGTCCCCCGCAGAGTATCTATTCGGCACCACCTTACGCCTTCCCGGTGAGTTCTTCCTTCCGGAAG